CATACTACGGGCTCTCTGACTACAGAATCGCCCTGACCCTTTTGCTACAATCCTTTAAATACAAAACCAAGATAAAACATCCCCCAAGTGGAGGCATGTAATTTACATTAACCCAGGTCTCAGACCTGGGTGGTTTTACACCTCAATGGGAACAGAAGGTAATTTGCATGGAATGACCCTCTACAGTAATCAAAGTATCTTTTAGTCTTAGGATCTGGATTATCTTTTAGTCTACTTTTGTAAGATTAAGACCATTGTACCACTCGCCCTGAAACTATTCAAATGAAACCAAACATGACTGTAAATCTTATTTGCATTCATATAGAACATTATATTCTTGACCATTCTGAGTGAATTAAACGGAGGGAGGAGATGAAAAGGAACTGATGCATATGTGAGAGAGGCGTTTCCTGCACCACCCCTCTGTGGGGTGTCTTGAAGATGCCAGTTTATTGTTTGTTTCTCAGGAGATCAAAGTATCTGAGTTTCTTTTATCCTTACAGTACTTTTTTGAAACATTCAAAAATGGTCTCTAGTGTGTTTGCTTTTAGAATTTGCATTCAAACTTATTTGCTTTTACTTTTTTAGCTATTTTGCTAGTCAGCTTCCGACGCGATGCCATTCACTGTATGCAAAGCATCATTCACTGCAAATTCAAAGCATCGCATTTAGGCGTGTCAACGGCGCTCACGCTCGTTTCAACTCGTAATAAAGAGGTGAATGATCTGTCCAGAAATGACGCTGATCAACAGAACAAGTTTATATTTACAATACACTGCAATCACTCCAAAATAGATGACGAAAACTCACACACATGCATTAGGAGCTGTACTTCTTTGCGTGCCTATTTAGCCTTTTGCTTCGCAGCACCTGAAGGATGCGTTCGTTACGCCAAACATTCAGAGGGTGGGACCAACTTTTTGAATTGGTTGATCAGTGTAAATTGTACTTATTTTGTCTTCTGGGAAACATGTAAGTATTTAGGTAGCTTCTTAAGTGCAGTACCAAATGAAAAAAATATGATCTTTAAACAAAATATGGAAAATGTACACATCATCATCCTGTTCAAATGTTTACAACCTCTGACTCTTAATGCATTGTGTTGCCTTTTTGAGCATCAGTAAATGTTTCCACCTTTTGTAATAGCTGTGTATGAGTCCCTCAATTGCCATCAGTGTGAAAAGATGGTTCTCAAAATCATACAGTCACTTTTGGAAAGGGTTCAAATATGCAGAAGATGCTGGAAAACCAAAGAATGTGCAGGAGCTGGAGGATCACAACACAGAAAAACAGTCGTGGATCATCCAGGAAACAACAGATTATTAAGATTCAAGGGTATGTAAACTTTTGAACAGGGTCATTTTTATATAAATTCAGTTATTATTTTGTCTTGTGGAGTATATATAAACATCTGTTGTGTGAAATAGCTTATTCAGGAGAGTACTAAATAAAAATAACATGCAATTTTCATGATCCCTCTTATTTAGTTCAAATTATAAACATATTTGCATATTCTGCAAGGGGTATGTAATCTTATGAGCACAACTGTATATCCATTGAACAGTCAGCCTAGTATTTTGCTGTCTGTCTTGTTTTTTAATTGGATGATCAGAGTAAATTGTACTTATTTTGTCTTCTGGGAAACATGCAAGTATTTATGTAGCTTCTGAAGTCCAGTACTAAATGAAAAAATATGATCGTTAAACAAAATGGGAAGAATTTACACATCATCATCCGGCTTTTAATAAATTGTGTGGCCTTCTTGAGCATCAGTAAATGTTTTCACCTTTTTTAATAGTTGTGTATTTGTTCTCAGTGTGAAAATATAGATCTCAAAATCATACAGTCACTTTTGGAAAGGGTTCAAATATGCAGAAGATGCTGGAAAACCAAAGAATGTGCAGGAGCTGGAGGATCACAACACAGAAAAACAGTCGTGGATCATCCAGGAAACAACAGATTATTAAGATTCAAGGGTATGTAAACTTTTGGGAGGAGATGAAAAGGAACTGATGCATATGTGAGAGAGGCGTTTCCTGCACCACCCCTCTGTGGGGTGTCTTGAAGATGCCAGTTTATTGTTTGTTTCTCAGGAGATCAAAGTATCTGAGTTTCTTTTATCCTTACAGTACTTTTTTGAAACATTCAAAAATGGTCTCTAGTGTGTTTGCTTTTAGAATTTGCATTCAAACTTATTTGCTTTTACTTTTTTAGCTATTTTGCTAGTCAGCTTCCGACGCGATGCCATTCACTGTATGCAAAGCATCATTCACTGCAAATTCAAAGCATCGCATTTAGGCGTGTCAACGGCGCTCACGCTCGTTTAAACTCGTAATAAAGAGGTGAATGATCTGTCCAGAAATGACGCTGATCAACAGAACAAGTTTATATTTACAATACACTGCAATCACTCCAAAATAGATGACGAAAACTCACACACATGCATTAGGAGCTGTACTTCTTTGCGTGCCTATTTAGCCTTTTGCTTCGCAGCACCTGAAGGATGCGTTCGTTACGCCAAACATTCAGAGGGTGGGACCAACTTTTTGAATTGGTTGATCAGTGTAAATTGTACTTATTTTGTCTTCTGGGAAACATGTAAGTATTTAGGTAGCTTCTTAAGTGCAGTACCAAATGAAAAAAATATGATCTTTAAACAAAATATGGAAAATGTACACATCATCATCCTGTTCAAATGTTTACAACCTCTGACTCTTAATGCATTGTGTTGCCTTTTTGAGCATCAGTAAATGTTTCCACCTTTTGTAATAGCTGTGTATGAGTCCCTCAATTGCCATCAGTGTGAAAAGATGGTTCTCAAAATCATACAGTCACTTTTGGAAAGGGTTCAAATATGCAGAAGATGCTGGAAAACCAAAGAATGTGCAGGAGCTGGAGGATCACAACACAGAAAAACAGTCGTGGATCATCCAGGAAACAACAGATTATTAAGATTCAAGGGTATGTAAACTTTTGAACAGGGTCATTTTTATATAAATTCAGTTATTATTTTGTCTTGTGGAGTATATATAAACATCTGTTGTGTGAAATAGCTTATTCAGGAGAGTACTAAATAAAAATAACATGCAATTTTCATGATCCCTCTTATTTAGTTCAAATTATAAACATATTTGCATATTCTGCAAGGGGTATGTAATCTTATGAGCACAACTGTATATCCATTGAACAGTCAGCCTAGTATTTTGCTGTCTGTCTTGACTGGTGGACTGGCATATTGGGAATGCTACGGTTATGGAGGCCAGCCTCAAAGGCTGAGGCCCTAGGCAATTGCCTTCTCTGCCTATAGCTAGGACCGGCCCTGCATGTACATGTTGGGGACTCCCACAACCAAATTATGAACCATTCAAACAGCACAATAGGGGCATTTTAAGTACTTGACACATTAGTTTTAAAGGTGATTTTTAAAGGGGTCATATGATGTTGCTAAAAAGAACATTATTTGTAGTATTTGGTGTAATGCGGTTTAAGATTAAAAAAACACATTATTTTCCACATACTGTACATTATTGTTTCTCCTCTATGCCTCGCCTTTCTGAAACGCGTAGATTTTTACAAAGCTCATCGGTCTGAAAAGCGAGGTGTGCTCTGATTGGCCAGCTATCCAGTGCGTTGTGATTGGCCGAATGCCTCAAGCATGTGACTGAAATGTTACGCCCCTACCATACTGTGATGGTGTGTCCCAGCACGATGAGACAAAACCAATAAAACCCATTACAAACGAGGCATTTGTTGCATCCAGTGGGGACATAACT